CTTCGGATAGTATGGTACAATGTTTAAAAGAAGGTGTAGTGTATCCGCGAGTATACTTACTTTGAACGTAAATTCTTTAGCTTTAGCATCCTCTTCTATTCCCTCTGATACTGTCGTGGACTGACTGAAGTGGAAAAACATGCACTTTCCGTCAGTTTCGACTGGAGCCTGAGTCTCGTACAGCTTACCTGATAGTTACTATATTTAATATTTCTGTTAGCAATTTGAATGTCACATTTATCTTTATTTGTATAAAAGTTCGATCAAAACAATAAAAAAGTTCGCGTTTCCAAAAATTGTAGCTAAGGAATCAATTTCCGTCCTACAATCATCTGTATTGACAAGACCAAGGGTTTTTCACATTTACTTTTCAGCGATTGTATTGCAAATATACAAATCATATTTTAGCCAAGATTAAAAAAGTACAAATAATATTTACCTCTGTCCTTATCACAGCAAAATATCTGGAACAAAGCTGGGTCAATCCTGCAAAACTGAGACGCCCACTTCTGCTTCCTCAACGTCTTCGTCGTTTTAGGCGAAGCATTGGGGACCATATAGGGACCTTTCTTTAAGATACCGAAGAGAGCAGGGACTGCTGATAGTTCCACACTAACCTCCTCTTCTTGGGGTTCCTCAAATTCATCTTCTTCATTGCAGTCGACGTCAGTAATCTGGGATGTTCGGTAGTTAGATTTGTGTGTCTGCAGTAGTTGTACTAGCCAATAGTAATTTATTTTTCTCGTGAAACAAGAAATAGTAAAAAATAGCGGACTTTAAAAAAAAAATATGACAAATAATAACCTCGACAGTAGGAACCGGGGAGATCGGTACTGGAGAGGGTTCGATAACAGGAGAGGGTTCAATAGCAGGAGAGGTTGCTTCTGGAGTCTCTTCAGGTGCAGATGGTTCTGCTACTTCTGGTGTAGCCTCTGATTCAACTGATTGGAATTTGTATTTAAATCTGGAATTTTTATTAAAAATAACGATTGCTTCCAGAGTTAAACCGAAAAAATAAATAAAATCCACAAAAAAACAAATAAAAACGTTTTGCGAATACCAATTCTTTTAAACCTCTATCTTCAGTGGAAGCCTCAGTAATACTAATCTGCCCCTCTGATTCCTCCTCGATCGTGTCTCCTACAGCTCCCTGATCAGGCACTGCTTCTTCCACAGATGTCTCTGCAGGTACAGCATCCTGTTCAACTCTCACTTTCCTCAGCTGGGGGTGAGACCTCTTCTGGTGCGGGTTCGGCTAGTGCTGCTGCAACTGCTTCTTCGTTTGATTTGGACTTGTTCTTTTTTGTTCGTCCGGGGGCCTTGAATTTCATGATCCCAACTGATGAATAAATAATAAGATTTTAATCACAAAATGTTTAAATCCGGCATAATTAATGATAATCTGACTGTTACATTACTACATGCTAGGTAAACTTTATACTACAATGCATAATTAATTTTGTAATGAACAGCATGGTGCAATAAGAATTTATGAATCACGATCACAAATTTCGGGTACAATTAAGCCTAAAACATAAAACTGCAAGACTTGTCAAAAAATATTCCTGCCCCCTGGGTTGACTAGACTGTATGTACTGCAATTTACTATAAGTCACAAGGCTTCTGTTAATTATTCTGCCAGACTTAAAATTAGAATTGTCACCAAGCTTTTTTTAATCTTCTATAATAAATGAAATTGTTTAAAAAGAATTTCGTCTGTTCCGATATAGTGTATGGATAAAATATTATTTGTCAATACGACTTCTCGATGAATTAATAATACTTAAAGTTAATGCCACATTCATAAACTATGGCGGAGTAGAACAATCAAAATTTTCCTTACCAATAATAAATATGGGTAGAGAAAGAACTGCAACCTTCAGAGACAACCTAATCAACGGATGAAAGTTGTCGAATATGTACAATTTGGACAGCACCATTTACAAGCGAAGAAACGGGCAGCAAACGGTGGTTTTTGAAAAAGCAGGAAACACGATATTTTTAGGTTCACGCACACCACTGGGCCTCATTCCTTAATTCATTAATGTGCTTTGATAACACTGTTCATTAATTGCCAGCTAGTGTTGACGAAACTAATTTCGTGGCTGTAATTTCAGAGCAAACCTTTATTAATTATAGAGTAATTTTAAAGCTTAATTATAGTTATATTTAGAGGAGGTTAGGTCATTTTAGTTTTAAATTAACTTGAATTGTTTGTTTTCTGTTCCCATTACGGTTTAAACAAAATTTCACACAGTATTTTCTCTGAGCTAACATTGTTAGTAACAAAATAAGTGATAAGGAGGCAAAACCTCCAAATAATTAATCGTATCAACATTAGAAACTGATAATATCATTTCTAGGTCTTGGGCATTATCATACATGTGTGATTATCATACATGTGTGATGTGTGATTATCATACATATTACATGTGTGATGTGTGATTACAGTCATAATGTTCACATGACAGCATTTCATCGATGTGCTTAGTATTGAAATTGGCCCAACATCTTAAATGAGCTGTATGAGTGTATCGTAATAACAATTATTTGAGGGAAATGACAATATGTTGCAATTGGGGACGACAGTCGACGAAACCCTGCTTCGCAAGTGATGACATGACTTATATCAGAATCCGAATCCTCGCTTCCACAAAAATCAAATGAACCAGAACAGCTCTTGTCTTACTCTTACTTAGGTCCACAAGGGAATGTTCCATGAAGAAGATAAAGATATTTGCAGAATAATCAGCGACCTGAGCGATGTCAAATAAAAAAAGGCTAGGGGTATATATGTCATTGAGGTTACCTTAGTCGGTAATGTTATAGGGGGAGAGTAATGGGAGTTAAAAATATGGACTGTTATAAATATGGTTCTTTGGCCCGAAAAGATCCAAATTTGACCCCCACACTTTTAACTGCGACTTTCCTTTCTTTTCCTCAAATCGAAATTATTGATCAATTTTTTTTCGCAATTATAACCAAATTGCCGCTTTCACATCAAATTCAATATTTTTTCGTTAGATATCCGATCCCTATCAGGTGTTAAAGTACATATAATTGTTCTGCTACACATGGAGCGTTATTTTAGAATAGAATGTGGGGCTGACGTCTGCAACTGCTATCGAAATCTGGTGATTAAAATTCAGTTGTCAGTTGCATCGTGTAAATATTCACAAGCTCCCCAATATATTTATAAGTATATGTTTTAGCCTGTACAGCTCACGAATTGTACACTGCAACGAAACGGCTGCTGCTGAACTTGTATTATTCATCTAATGTTGCTGATCTGAAATTTAAATTGAAATTGTTCCTAGTTAACCCCTCAAATTGAAAGGATGGGGGGAATAGTAGACAAATCGGACTTTTTGAACCAGAACTAGCTTCAATTTAGCAAACAATAACACTTCTAGGACGTGAATGAAACATTATGACTGATATACCAAAAGGAACATCAAAATTTGACTCAGGGGTTAAATTATGGGTGGTAAAAATATGGACTGTTATAAATATGGTTCTTTGGCCCGAAAAGGACCATTACTTAGACCCCCCATAATATTACCGACTAAGGTAGTTACTATTGGAATTATATAAACGTTGCCTGGTCTGACAGAAACTCCTTCATTTGGATAATAGGTCGCAATGTGAGATAAAGAAGGTCTCTGTGTCGATAACAACTTCTAATCCCAGGATTCCTACGAGATCTAAAAGAGTAAAAGGTCCTCTGCTGCAAAAGTCTCATGATATTGATACTCATGATAGTGATACAGATATTATTTTTGTTATTGTTATTGTTATGACACCACATATGTTAAAATGAGTTAATGTTATGTGTTATGAGCAGAGAAGATATCTTCTAGTTCTAATTCTATCATGACGTGTAGCAGTGAGGCGACAATTTTCAATTGTTCAGCTTCAGAATCAGAAGGGCCTGACTTTCCGAGTAAATAAAAATAAAATAACACTAAAATTTCAGATATCGGAAGTTCGATTGTTACGGTAAAAAAGATTCGAGCTAAAATAAAAATGCAACATAATCATTAACATAATAAACTGTGTGGCCCACCTTGTGGCCCGTTTCTTTAAATAGGGCTCATGCTCCGTACAACTGACATGTCTACTTCCAAAATGGTGTCAAATATAGTCTATTTGAGTACAAGTGCACCGGACCAGTTTCCTTGAATTATATTTATAAATCTAATTAGTGCTACTTCTAGTTCTACCGGTAAATGTTACCCTCATAGTCATAAACAAAGACGGAATGCTCATGCTTTTAAATTTTATATTTTCGTCCACTGTCAAATTTTTACAATTACATAAATGTACCTACGTCCTACATAAACATTTATTTAGATTGGTCCAGTGGCAGTACCGCCGCGCCATTAAATTTAATAAGTTAATATTATTTTCGGTGATTGGCCATGCATTTTTTCTATTTAAATTTATTTCGATTTGTGCGATGCCTGAAAATAGTTACAAACTTGAGAATGAACACCGGAAAAGCAAGAATCGTAAATACACATTGACATGATTCAGATTGTAAGGGATAATTCTTATAGCTTTTAAGTTTAAAGGCGTGCACAACGTATGACATGCGATTTAATATTTTTCATACTATTCACAATGTTATAAATATAACTTGTCATGATCATTGGATTTGCAGGTGGCAAACTCAACTTAATATAAGACTAAGAGGGGTACAACTTGGGAGTTCAAAGTAATTATCAAACGTCGAGGAATAGGTCCAAAATTATTGGCCAGTTTCTGAGTTTCGTGTGAGATAATTTTTGGACAGCCGACCCTGATGACAATAACAATATGTAAAATTTTAATGATCGAGACCACGCCATATTACTATTAGCATATTGTAATATTAATTGATAGTATTACAAAACTCGCCTGAATTTTTCTGAAACTAGGATATTGTACTGGTAAATAGTCTGATAAAAGGTTCTAGATGTTAAATTATTATTATTCGAACTCAAAAATTACGCCCATGATAGCTTTAAGACGCATACTTTGCCTGTATGCTACAAAATGAAAATTTGCAATCACGTTAAAAACATATACACTAGTTGTCACCGATTTAAAAATGTAAATATTAACATTAATGGTTTGAATAATTTGAACTCCATAAACATCATGGCTTGAAAAATTTCTTACGCCTGTAACTGTCATAATATCTTATCGCCTAAGTTTACGATCATTAATTAGATTTCTAAAAATGTCAACCCAATATATTATGAACACTAAAAATCATTGCTTAAGAGTCAGTAAATAAATTTGATATTGAATGAATATTGAATAAGCTACTAAAATATTTCAATTTTGAAGGCATGATCGAAAGTGCATCACAATTACATAAACAATTGATAAAGATGGCGCCAAAAGGATCTACAACTGTCTCTTCCTCCGCAAACGTTTCTACTCCAGGAACGCGCACAGTCTCGCTTCCGAGTGTACATCCCCTCAAACCCGATCAATAATCCTTGTTGAGCATGTCACGTGACTAGGAGGAACTGCCTGAAGAAGAGGAGCTGCTGGAGGAGGAGGAGGAACCGCCACCACCGTGTCCCTTGTTCTTGAACTTCTCTGTTAATGAGGCGGTAATTAATAATTATTGATTATGGTTACTTACTATATACTTTTCCGGAAAAACACCCTCTTCATAATTTTACATACTAAAACATTTACAAAATCAACTGAACTCTCAAATACTTACTCATCTTGGGTTTCTTGCCAACTTTCATTCCCTTCACTTTCTTCATCTTGCCCTTCTTGCCCATCTTGACGCCTCCCCCAGCGTAGCCCATGTACCCAGCAGGAACAGCTCCGTGGGGTGCAGCTCTATACCCACCTTGACCTGGTAGATGACACAGTGGTATAAACCAAGTAACCAGCTTAGCTTGCCATATTGTTATGAAGGCTCCAGAATATGAGAGCATGATATTAACAAATATACAAGTTTGCTTTGGGTCAAGTGATTACCATTAGTAGTTACTATATTGCAATTGCACCTTGAAGGAGGTGATAATAAACACAAGCTCTAGTAAAACATACCATGACTCATACCACCATGAGGGACTGCCATCTGAGGTGCACGAGGTGCATAACCAGCTTGTTGAGGGTAGCCTGCTTGTGGGAAGCCGGGTCGGGGTGCGTATCCGGCCTGGGGGCGGGCTCCGTCATGTCCCGCTGCTCCTGGCAGGAGAGAGAGAGAGAGGTTAGACTGATGTTATAATGTGTATGTGAAACATGTCAAAATAAAACGAAAGGAATGTAGAGAATGATAGTTTAAATTGTTAAGTTAATGAATCATCTCTAAATTTATTTAAGCTTGAAAAGTACAATATATTGTTTCAAGGAACACTATTTCTGTCGCTCCGAATTTGCGCTACAACAGATAAAACTAAAGACTCACCAGTAGTAGGTCCAGCAGCAGCATAAGGGTTAGCGGGACGAGGGGGAAACCCACCAGCCTGAGGCGGGTACCCTGCCTGGGGTGGGTAACCCGCTTGAGGGGGGTAACCCCCAGCTTGGGGTGGGTAACCTCCGGCGGCGGGAGGGTAGCCTGGTTGGGCGGGGTACGCTGATCCAGGGGGGTATGCACCTGGTGCCCCCTGAAATCAATAGAATATTGTTATCTAAAATTATCCTAAAACTGTTTTATCCATTTTTGAAACATTTCTCGTAAATATGAAGTCAAATTAACCTAAAATCAGGTCTCCGTGCGATTGTTGGATGCTGAAACAGATATTTCCCCGATAGGTTGGGACACAGCTATTTTTAATGGACATCTTGTTTCGGAGAAATGTAAAATATCAGGAACCATTACTTCAATAAATTACTCAACAAACACCCTTATGCTGCTAATACGAGTCAACATCTGTCAAGGGTTGAAAAAATTAAAGCTTATTATTTATTATAGTCAGCAAAAAGATATAACACACAAAAATAACGACATTTACACGTTCACGAAATCTATTAATTTACCTCAACATTATAGGCTTATTATAGCACTAAGCTCAGTCGATTAAATATAAACTAATTGCAACACTACAAATCTATTACATTTATTGAGTATTATTTATCGTGATTTGTGATGGAAATATTCTAAGTGGGCGAAAGCTTGTCCAAACCCAGGCTACATAATACGAAGACTTTGTTGCAACTTTATTAATAAAAACAATCGTAAAGTCAAACCAAAAACATATTTATTACCTGTAGAGCAGTAATATCATCAGCTTAACAAACACAAAATAAATAAAGTAACACACGAAATAACGATGAGATCCTTACTTGGGGTGGGTAGGCGCCTGGAGGACCCTGAGACGAATAAAATCTTCAGGAAAATAAATCTACTGCTATGTGAATTAACGTGGGGCTAATTTTATTGTTTTTATAAATGCTCATTCGTCAAACCAGTCAAACCATTTGTTGACTTATTGGTTATAGATTCTGCCAAACCATAATACAGTTTAATGATACCTTGCCTCTTGATTTAGGAAGACTAAGAGTAGACTGAAATTGAAATAAAACAGGCTCTAATATAAAACACAGTTCAACCAATCACCACAAACCTTGCTACCACACTAAAGTAGATTTAATATATACCACACAAAACCTCCAATCACTCCATATTGATGCTCATAGATAAATCAATACAAACCCAAATCACAGGTTGAAAAACACAAATCACCTCGAATCAGCACACAGAATCACCTGTAACCTACCTGTTGAGGGTATCCATAGCCAGCCTGGGGGTTAAAACCGGCTGGGGCCCGGTTAAAACCGGCAGGGGCAGGGTTAAAACCGGCAGGGGCCGGGTTAAAACCGGCAGGGGCCGGGTAGCGCTGCTGAAAACTTATCATATTTCAGCCTACAGACGACCACATATTTATAATTCTATCTGTGTTGCTTCTCTAATGTGAGACGAACATACGTTATTCAGCAATTTAAAATGATTCGAACGAACAAAATTACATCACGCAAAAATTTAAAATTGATGAAATCATTGATTCAGTATATTGGATAAATAATTTTAATTTATCATTCAAAAGCGTTAGGAAACACATTTGCGATCAGTTGATACAATTACAATTTGTTAATAAAGATAATATAACCTGCAGCGTTTATAAGAATTGTTTATAAGCTGTTACCTGCAGCTGTTTATAAGAATTGTCTATAAGCTGTTACCTGTGGTGGATAGCCGGCTTGTGGAGGATATCCAGGCTGTCCCGCGGGCGGGTATCCGGGCTGACCTGTAAAGCTAGAGTTAGTTTCCTGCATTAGAGTATAACATTGTATCAGTTAAACAAAACAGAAAGAGGAATTGGGATAAACACACTAGGGTTTCAAGAAATTTACCGGTCCCATCAGGAATGTATATACTATACATATTTACTATATATAATCTACAAGGAATAAGAATCTTATTGCTCCTCGGTTTCCATGGAATTAAATACGCCTAATAAATAGTAACCGATGTAACTTAATCTGTTTTAGAACCAATAAAAACTAATGATCTAATATAGAACAGTAAATACCTGGCGGGTATCCTGGTTGTCCTGGAGGGTAACTCTGCGGAATTTGAGGAATGTTACTTTCAGGTTAAATGATACTCACAATATCAATGTCTGATTTAACCTCATAGTTCACAAATTAACGTGTTAATTACAGGCTGACAAGTCCGAGGTGTACACCTAATATTGCTAATATTGCTAATATTGCTGCAGCAGTATGAAGCATCGTGAGCCTCTAACTACAATGTATAAACTGATGTACTTCAAGAAGCAGATACCATGATATACAATACACATTAATTGCTGCGAACGAGCGACTTCATTTGCCAATACATGATGATTGTACACGAAGCCTATAAAGTACATATCAACGAACGTAGACTCACCATGAATTTAGATTGTACAGTGTATAGTATACACTAACACGTTATCAAAATGTATAGTATAAAGTTATTACAATGTATACTGAAAATCTACTATTTCAGAGTTTGTTAACGCGGTGAAAGAAAGGAAGTGCTACAGCTAGCGGATACAACGACTCAGTACATATAATTATGTTATTCAGTGTACATAATTATAGTCCTGGCCATATTATCGAATCAACATGGGCCTGTGCGGTGTGAATATTTAAATAATCATTCGGTGAAAACAAAAGAGTTGATTGAATTTCTATAACATGATCTCGGTGTAACACAACAATGTTGAATGCTCAATGCGTGTGTATTGCAAGTACTATACATTCTGGCATGCTTCAATGTATACTCTCAATGTATACTCTCAATTTTATTATACACCTCCCTACAATAATACGCTAACGAGTTTATCAGTCTAAGCTTGCAATACACAACTTACCATCGATATCTAGAAGTGTACACAGAAACTAAAGAACAAATTCAACTCGACGCTGAAACAAACACACAGCAGCAAAGAAAGAGGCGAAGTAATGAATCGATATCCTATTACAGCGCGCTATATATTATACACTTATATACAGCAATACTCTGTAGCGTGTGCAGTGTGTGCGTGTGCGTGTAATTGAATGAGGTCACAGTCATTATAGGTGTCGTTATATCAAATATATACCAATTGCTATACACATAAATGTGATAGCTGAGTGTTTAATGTTTTATAGAGTTATTACTATGTTTGGTATAATAGCTTTGATTCTGTACTAATGATATGATTTGGGATATATATTTACTGGGCCGGGTTTAACAGGGACCGGCTGTGTGCCATGTGTGTGCAGCTGCTGGTTTGTGATGTTTGGTATTTGGTCCCATTATGGGATATGGGATATTGGGATATTGCAGGTCGTTATAAACACCTCCGGGTTAGAATAATCAGCCGGGCGGGCGGGATAGATTCTGATACTGATAGTGATACTCCCGGCTACCGCTGTTAGTTTTTTCCCGCTTAATAAATAACCCCGGCAGACCGACACTGCTTCTATGTTTTATAACATATAGTCCTGCCCCGCTAATTTGGCCCAAAAAGATTTGTTTTGTTTTGATATTGTTTTGAATATTTGTTATGTGTGTGTTATAATATAACACACATATAACAAATATTCAAAACAATATCAAAACAAAACAAATAACGATTGGGCGACTCCTGTCCGAAAGCGACATCTGTCCGAAAGCTGAATTAGGGATTTCGGACAGATGTCGCTTTCGGACAGGAGTCGTTTTTGGCGACATCTGTCCGAATTTCGGATCATATTGTAATTTCGGTTCACATTCGCATTTCACAAGCTCACAGGTAATCTCGTGACGTTCTAAAGCTGATGTGATCCCTTAAGATCTGATCCATCGATACGTGATTGACTAGTTGAGAACAGGATCGTGCTAGCCGTACCCTAACAAGCTGTCGATCACATCACAGGACATGAGTACATATAGGACAGCAGTATGGAGATCACTTATCGCAATCCACAATGGCAACCAATCTTCAGTTTATCCCTGGACGCAAACAAGGCTCGGAGAACCCTATCCTAAATGGCTTCAGATACGTCTTCGACAAGCGAAGTAACGACACCTCCTACTGGAAATGTTCGGAATTCCGAAAGGGTTGCAGAGCCCGCATCCGTACCGTGGACAGACAACTGATCACTCCTACTCCTGACCACACTCACCCTGTCCACCATGCTGAAACGACCGTCCACGTCAGCAAACAGAACTTGAAAAGAAAGGCTTCTGGTGGAGATCAACCGACGAAATACCTCGTATCTGAAGCAGTCGGTGGATTGGGTTACGAATCTAGAGCAAAGCTTGGCTGCCAGCTGTCATCCCTCAACAGAATGGTACAGAGAAGCAGAAAAGCAGCTAACAGACACCCTTCTAACCCGAGAGATCTGGAAACGCTCTCCATTCCTGCAAACTACATCCTCTCTACCGACAACGAACCAATGATGCTCTGGGACTCTGGATGGGACGAACGGACTCGTCGATCTTTCCTTTGGGGGACTCCTAAGAACGCAGATCATATGGTGGACGCGGAGCATTGGGTAGTCGACGGTACCTTCAAATCCGCACCTAATCTCTTCCATCAGCTCTTCACAGTCCATGGCCTCTTCCCTGACGGCTGGCACCTCCCCCTCTTCTATGGACTCCTTCCTGGAAAAACGACGACCCTCTACCGCAACCTGTTCGAGGAGATAGACACCTGGGCTTCTGGGGGATACCAACCACAATCCATCCTCATGGACTACGAGCTCGCCATTCACAACGCAGTTGCTTCCGTGTGGCCCTCCACTACCAGACGAGGATGTAACTTCCACTACAAGAAAGCCCTCCTGAAGCATGTTAAGCAGACCAACATCTGGGAGGAGTACCTGACTCCAAACTCTCCTGTTCGGGATTTCTTCGCGATGACTGGAGCTATTGCCTACGTACCGGAGACTGACGTCCCTCGAATCTGGAGACACCTGAAGCCCCTCCTTCCTATAGACATGGCTGAGTTTGCTTCATACTACGAAAACACTTGGATCGGGACATCAACCACCAATCCTAACTTCGCTCCCCACATGTGGAATCAACACGAAGCTGCACAGATGAGGATTCCTCGCTCATCCAACATCGCAGAAGGTTGGCATCACGGATTCCATTCAATGCTGTCCTGCTCGAAGCCCACAATTTGGAAGTTCCTTGATTGCCTTAAAGCAGAACAAGCCCTTACAGACGTGAAGAAAACCAAAAGAGACGGGCGGGAACTACCTGAGCCACGTGCACCCAAATGGATCCGTTATGATCGACAACTTCAGAGAATTGTAGATGATTACGACAACTACAGCAACCCTATGGATTTCCTTAAAGCTATCGGAAATTTGACTATGCTTTAGATTTGATTCTGTGATATTGTATTATATTGAATTAATTTATAACATTTAAATAACATTGAAACTATTGTCCAATTTATCGACATCAAATTAAAATAAACTGTGGTAGTAAACTATGGCTCAGATCATATCTCAAATTGGACATGTTACGTATACAATTTAGCAAGTAACAGTTTAGATCATGTCTCTAATTGGAAATGTGTCGTATTGAAATCAGGTCACAATTTCGGACAGATGTCGTTTTTTTCTGGTACCCTGATTCGGACAGATGTCGCTTTCGGACAGATGTCGCTTTCGGACAGGAGTCGTGTTACCCAAATAACTTATATAGTTATTATATTATTACTCAACACATAATTTAGTTATAATTACGGCTCTTACTAATTCGCTCGCCCAAAAATAAATATATTGCCCATGGTAACAGGTATCTGGTATATAATGGTTGTAGGTTTTAGTTATTGATTTTGATCCAGTAAATAGGAATCTTATACTTTTATACATTATATTTATAGTTCATAGTTTGCAGATTTTGCATTTGTTACTGTTCATGTTAGCATGTCCAGCAATTCAGCAATATTTTATATCCACCAGCGGGCTATATTTTGTCTTCTGACCTCTCGCAGCCCGATGTAACACTAACAAGACACAGTGCGCGTCCAGCCGGTAGCCCGCTTAAAATACAGCACGCGATCAGCAGACGACACTTAACGTGACAAGTAACAATACAGCCCGGAGCACTTTCACTTTCAAACAAATTTTTGGGGCCTAAACTATTAAACTGTATCTATTACAAGACACGTACACCATATTAATGTCACTGCCACTACATCTTAATGGTTCCCACGGCTCAAGGAATGTACTATATCACTTATCGGCCTCAGTCCCTATACCACGCAGTGCAATATGATTGGCTGACATTGAACACGTGACGTGTTACCATGGTTGCAACAATTAGTGGCGACTTTAAGTCTAGAGTTGATGTTTATACAGTATACACCATACACGCTCCATTGTTTATTTCAACTGATTTCCATTTCCATAATTGCTCAAGCTATTAGTATTTCGAGTAATAATTCTTAAAATTTTAGGCCGGAATTTTACGTGTAATTCTATTGTGTTCCCGAAAGAAATTTTGCCCTGTTTTTTGTTTTGAAACTATACCGTCTACCACTAATATTCAATATTGATGTTATGAATTTGATCTTTTACTCAACGTAATATATATATACTAGAAACCCGCTAGTCGAAAGCTTTGTTCGAGGAAATTTTAAAAATCAGTTATGTTTTAATTTCTCTTCATCATACAGCTCTGTTATACAGTAGACATAATGGAATTTATTTAACAATGGCGACAGCGTTGTTAGTATTCGGATTCCCAAAACGATACTTTTTACCGCATCAAAAAATACCAATCACAACCAAAGTTATGAATATAAGTCATAGCGTGAGCGTAAATGTGAGCTAGTTTTGAAGCTATGACGTAGCATACAGCATAACAACGCGCGTAGTTAAGATGTCCTTGCTCGCGCACGTGCATTTTAACGTTGCTACGCAACAGCGCAGTAAACCTTTGCTAAAATAACGACATTATTCTAACGGTTATTTTACCTCACTTCCGACGTTAATTATAAAAAATCTAAAGCCTAAATCAAAATTCTAAGAATGCTATAGCCTATTCCTATCCTTTTTCTACAACCCTGCTAAAAATGGCGAGGTTTCAACTCCATTTGCGAGCTGGGTTTGATTTCACCAGAGGGTCATTTTGAGGTCGATTTTCGGTGTTTTTCTTCTATGTCCCCGTTGCCGGGGAAATTTCGTCAAGTTTAAATTATAGTATAGATATTTCATGGCTGGACTTCTACACAATAAAAGAAAGCGGTTGTGATTGATATATATATATTCAATGTCCCTTCGTGCTTCGTTATCATGAGCTCTCTTGGTAACTATAACAGATTGCATTCAGTTTATAGTTACACAGTTGTTAAAGTTATGGCGAGCACTCTCTTTGATAGTTAAAGCTGAATTTATTGTTTGACCGGCCCTACACACTGTGTACTGATTAACTCTCATTGTACATCTGACGTGTTGTCATGGTAACAGGAATTCTGTGTTACTCGTAGTATGGATTGACGGAGATACACAATTTTTAATCTATGTTAATGATTAACATCCCGTTGATTGTTCATTAATATGGTTGGTGTGTAATACCATTAAGGTACGTGGGATTTCAATTCTTCTATTGTGTTATATAATCAGTATTGTTGCCCTGTTCTGCATCTTACACCAAAGGCTAAAGCATGATTTTCTATTAAATTTGCAGCTTTAGTTCGAAATCTTTTACTTCTATTTGCTATGATTGTTGAAAACTGTAAAGCGCCCGCTCATGGATATACACGATATCATTCCTCGCCATGAGGGCGGAACTATCGTATATATATCTCCGCCTCGGCACTCGGGCTGGCGCCCTCGTGGAGATATAAAATATTGCACGCGCACGCGCGTGCAATATTTAGTACCGCCCTCAAGGCTGCGGTGATATCTAATACTCTAATAAATGTATACAGTTTCAAATTCCCGTGCGGCAATCAGACGAGTCGAATACAATAGATGATTATAGATGAATAGATGAATATAGATGAAATGAAACAAAACAAAAAGTGATGTGATGTCAAATGTCAGTCCGGGCCGTGCAATGATGAATGATTAAGTGAAAATAAAGATCATGTACCATGCGAGTTGCTTTAAGTCTAACCAGAGCCCTTTCGCTTGCAGTAGCAGTGCGCGTAGACACATGGCTATGTGAACCTTACTGAGCCGCGCTCAGCCTGTCATTCCGCCTAATCTGAAATCTCTATTCGTTGTTTATCCACATTAAAGCCTGGGGTCCTCAGGTCCTCAGGTCCTCAGGTCCTCAGGTCCTCAGGTAATGTGTTACTGGGCCGCGCTCAGCCTGTCATTCCGCCAAATCTTTATTCGGCTATTATGTTAATGAACATAATAGCCTGGGGTCCTCAGGTAAGTAATGTGAACCATGCGAGCAACGATAAATATTTAAAAGTGGAAAATATAAATATAAGTAAATGAATCGACTTTTTACAAAATCCAGATCAACTAAAATAAAAGAACAATGTCGCGTGACTGATCACTTTATATTAGTAACACTCTAACGTACGTGTCGCCGCGACATCTTTACTCGACTACGTCACCAAACACCTTGATACATGTATCGTATCCAAATATCAGAGATATTTTCGCGCGAAAAGTGGCATGCAACGTATGTCAACAGACACCAAACACGCGAACGTGGATCGGCGAACGATGCCGGGCCATGCGCGCGGGACCTGCTCACTGTGTATGCTGAAGAGTTTTGCGCCAATTACCATTTTTCATTTACCCTGCTGCGAATTAGCGAAACTGCTTACTGCAGCTAAGCGTAGCTGCGTTCATGGGCGCTTCATACATCTGCAAACACAAAACAAGTTTTATATTAGTGCTGCATTCATCATAGTCTGCAGATTTGAGATTTCTATTGATGCGTTTATTCCGCAACCCTGAACCCTGCATTAATGCAATTTGTCAAACATCAAAAGATCAATTTTAATGTTTCGGCGGCGCGCGCTTCGCGCGTGAAAAGTGGCATGCAACGCGACGTATGTCAAGTACTGCGTGACGCGCTTGTTTCACAACTGTGAACTGAGAACGCGCTACTGCAAGCGAAAAGGCTCTGGTTAGAGCAACATAGTCGCTTAGTCAATAATATAAAAACACCTTGGTTGTTATAAAAAGGAAATGATGAAGCAAGTATATATTCAGCAAGTATTCAGATACATAGTCATGACACAAAGAAAAATGGTCGGTGGGGATTGGGACCCACTTAAATCACCTTAACACAGTGCCCCTCAGTAATCCATCCAAATACTAATAGTTATTAATCTAGAAAATGAGTCAATTCACGATGTCAATCCTTCGCAGCTCGGTGAGGCACAGTAGTCAGTGGTGCATCTCGCCGATCTACCGAAGTGGTTGCGAGAAGCATTATTTGATGCGCGCGCGACCCAGTAGTGCATCGCGCTACAAGAAAATGAGTTTTGCGAACAGAAATATCAAATATTGGTTTTACTGACAACCATCTCAGGAGGATAAATTTCAGGAATAAATTCTTCAAAAAGACCATCATCGTTATTAAAACTAATAAACCGTCTTGATATCTAAAAATATTCTGCAGTTTAGCTAATTTATTCTTTAAATTATTTTCATATAAATATGTAAAATACTCGTGCTCGTAAACATTTACTGGGCCGCGCTCAGCCTGTCATTCCGCCTAATCTCTATTCGGTTGTTTATGTTGTTTAACAACATTAAAGCCTGGGGTTTTCAGGTAAGTAAACATGTAAGTAAATATTAGCCATAATATTAGGAGCAGCACTCGTCCCTGTAGGTATCCCAATGACTTGTCTATAAATACAACCATTAAAATTAATAAAAGATTTATCAATAAGAAAATAAATACATTCTAAAAACTCATCTTTGGTCAATTCTAAATTATTTTTATTTAAATTTGAACGATCTGAAAAAAAAAACGCATTCTTGAAAAAATCATTACATACAAAGGGACTGAACAAGGACATCCACTCAGCCCCGAGTTTTTCAAAGTCTACTTTAAAAAGCTTTCTGACCTCCTCAATGAAGCCGTTGTGAACTGCCCAACTCACGCTGGTATCTCAGTGACTCACTTGACATACGTTGCATGCCACTTTTCGCGCGCGAAGCGCGCGCCGCCCAATATCTCTGATATTTGGATACGAAACATGTATCAATGACTCACCTAGCGTGGGCTGATGATCTAGTAATCCTCGCCCTAGATCCTGAATCACTCCAAAAATTGCTTTCGATCATTGGGGACTACTGTATCGAATGGGGTCTAGAAATCAACATCTCCAAAACCAAATTCATGGTCTTCAACGGTAAAGGACCAGACATTCCAAACTGGCGTCCTTCCATTC